AAACAGGTTGGAGGGTTCTTACCATGTCTTTCCAATGTGTTAAGTTTGGGACGCCTATAGAGGTGATAAGTAGGCAGCTGGGACGTGGCTCCGAAGTTCAGGGGAGAACCACAGGATGGAACTAGACATTTGGAGATTGTCAGCACTTTCTAGCCACAGTACCGTGTGTACAAAGGAGTGAATGCACTGAGAGAACAGGGACAAGGACTGAGCTTCAGGACATTCCAACATTCAGTGCTGCCTTCCAATGTTTCTGTAAATTTTTTTAAAGGAAGGATGACTAGACACATTTTCAAATTTCTTTAGAGGATTATCTTTTCTTATTCATTAACATTTTGAAACTACTCGGTCCTTAATTTATGAATGCAATATATATTCATTTTCTTGAATAGTTTAATATTAGACTTTATAAAATAACATTGTCTTTCATACCTTAAATTGTACCATTTTTCTGTTTTTTGTTTGTGTATTATCAGACATTCTATTTCTTAAATCTTAGCCATTTTTTTTTTCATATCCTTGGTTCTTCATATGCCCAGAGATCCTTGGTTTCTCACTGATTTCTCACTCACAGTGACGAGCGAGAATGGAATTATTTTAGCTAATTGGTGCGCATTCCCTCTACTGTTGTGTATGAAAATTTGTTTTCCTCTCTCCTCTCTTATTTGAGTGATAGGGTTGATCGGAAGTTCTACTGGCAATGGAAGGATTTGTCAATTGATCTAATTCCCTGAGAATTAATGAGCAGTATTGCAGAAGTTAAGCTAGGAACATTCAATTACAGAATGGGTTGGATTTCACTCTGGCGAACCCAAAGCAAAACCTGTTGCTTTCCTATTACCCTTGCAACATGTTATTTTCTTTAGCAAAGTGACCATTTTATTTTGGTCAGAGATTAATGCTGTCTGTTTACCTTACATGAAAGTGGGTGAAACACGCATAACCAGACTACCCATGCACTCCATGGCCTTATGTTCTGCTCTACCCTTGCCTTCCATGGGGTGTGCCCCATATCACTGACTCTGAACATGGAGCCCCTCTGTGCTTGGCAAACCCGCCCCTACCTCCACTGTAGTCTGTTTCGGTAGGTTGGAACTATGGTATCATCTGTTATGTTCCTTCTGTTATCTATCCCCATAGGCTTTATAACTTTCAGAAAATTATTCCAATGGTTTTTAGCTCTATAATTGTAGCTGCAATACTATTTTAGGTAATGAGTTTGGCAAGAATGTTCTTAAAATTTGTTACTCCCACTTCTTCATTTTGCAAATTTGGGGAGATTGCTTAAGTCTAGTAAAAATATAGTGTACTTTTTTTTAAGGTAGAGGTAATAATAATAATAATACATAGCAAATAGGATTACTGTTAGCATTAACTAAGGAAATACATATCAAGGCCTATTTCTGGAGACAAGTACATGCTTAATATTTCTATCAGCAATAATAAGATTATGAGTAATATTATTTGTAAATTTTAAATAGGTGGTGGAGTATTATCTGTTATAATCTAATTTTGTAGGATTATATACAAATTATATAATATATATTCTGGAAACTTTTACCTACATATTTTTTTGGGAAATGTACATTAAAACAAAGGAATAAAATACCCAGGAATAAACTTAATAAAGGATGTGAAGGACCTCTATACTGAAAACTATAATACATTATTGAAAGAAATCGACGAAGACAAAAAGAAATGGAAAGATATTCCATGTTCATGGATTGGAAGATTCAACATAGTTAAGATGGCCATATTATCCAAAGAAATACACAGATTTAATACAATCCCCATCAAAATCCCAATGGTATATTTTATAGAAATATTTAGAACAAAAAAACAAGTTTGTATGGAACCACAAAAGCCAAAGCAATAGCCAAAGAAATCCTGAGAGAAAAGAACAAGACTGGTGGTATCACACTCCCTGACTTTAAATTATACTACGGAGCAACAATAATCAAAACAGCATGGGATTGGCAGAAAAACAGACATACAGACCAATGGAACATAATTGAGAACCCAGAAATAAACCCACATGTATTTGGGCAAATGATTTTTGACAAAGGGGCCAAATATGTACAATGGAGAAAAGAAAGCCTCTTTAATAAATGGTGCTGGGAAAATAGGAAAGCCACGTGCAAAAGAATGAAGCTAGACTGCTATCTGCCACTATATACCAAAATTAACCCAAAATGGATCGAAGACATAAATAGGACATGCCACAATAAATTACATAGAAGAAAGCTTGACCTCAAAGGCAAGGGAAGTAAACACCAAAATAAATGAATGGACTCTATCAAACTAAAAAACTTCTACACTGCAAAAGAAATCATCAACAAAACAAAGAGGCAGCCAACCAAATGGGAGAAGATATTTACAAACAACACCTCTGATAAGGGGCTAATATCCAAAATATATAAAGAACTCACACAATCCAACAACAACAACATAAAAGCCAAATAATGCAATTAAAAAATGGGCAGAGGACCTGAACAGACACATCTCCCAAGAAGACAAACAAATGACCAACAAATTATGTGAAAAAATGCTCAACTTCACTAGCTATTAGGGAAGTCAAAATCAAAACCACAATGAGATACCACCTCATGCCTGTTCGAATGACTTTTAACAAAAAGACAAGTAAGTGTTGGAGAGGCTGTGGGGAAAAAGGAACCCTCATACACTATCAGTGGGAATGTAAATTACTACATCCACTATGGAAAACAGTATGGAGTTTCTTCAAAAAATTAAGAATAGAATTACCATATGACCCAGCAATCTCTCTTCTGGGTGTCTACACAGAAAATCTGAAAATATCTATCTATAAAGATATATGTACCCCTAGGTTCATGTCAGCATTATTCACAGTGGCCAAGTCATGGAAACAACCAAAGTGCCCTTTGATAGATGATTGGATAAAGAAGATGTGGTACATATATACGATGGAATGGTACTCGGCCATAAAAAGATGAAATACTGCCATTTGTGACAACATGGATGGATCTTGAGATTATCATGCTAAGTGAAAAAAATCGGACAGAAAAAGTCGAGAGCTGTATAATTTCACTCATATGTGGGATATAAAATTGAAAGCAACAAAGGAACTAGGGAAATAAGCGAACGAAAACTCAGACACTATAGTTTAGGGTTACTGGAGGGCAAGGGGAGGATGGTAGAAGGTAGAAAAATGTGTCAAATATATGTTGATGGAAGGAGAACTGACTCTGGGTGGTGAACACACAATGCGATACACAGAGGATGTATTATCGAATTGTACACTTGAAACTTACGTGATTTTATTAACCAATGTACCCCAATGAATTTAATAAAAAATAGCATACTTGTATGTATCTACCTATTTATATATTGATCCAATTTCATGGTTCTTCTGAAAACTTTTAATTATAACAGCTATGGGGGGAAATCACTGTTTGCCTTATGGGATTTTTTCTCATTTTCCTATGTTTCTTTTTATAGATTTTATTTTTTAGATCAGTTTTAGATTTGTAGAAAAATTGAATGAAAGGTACATAGATTTCCCATCTGCCCCCTGCTCTCACTCATACATAACCTCCCCTTTATCACCGTCCTCCGGAGTGGTACATTTGCTACAACTAATGAACCTGAATTGACACGTCATCACCCAAAGTCCATAGTTTACCTTAAGGTTCACTCTTGGTTGTACATTCGGTGGGATTATGTTGTGTAGTCACCATTAGAGTAGCATTCAAAATAGTTTCACTGCCCTAAAAAATCCCCTGTGCTGCACCTATTCATCCTTTCTTTTCCCCATCCCCTGAAAAACGCTGACCTTTTTATTGGTTCCATAGTTTCACCTTTTCCAGAATATCATATTGCTAAACTCATACAGTATGTCGCCTTTTCAGATTGGCTTCTTTCCCTTCGTAATATGTATTTAAGTTTCCTCCATGCCTTTTCATTGCTTGAGAGCTCAATTCCTTTTTTTTTTTTTAAAGATTTTATTGGGGAATTGCGGGGAGGGGAACAGCGCTGGGGAATTGGGGGAAGGGGAACAGACAAGTTGCTGTCGTCTTGTTCTTCAATCTAGTTGTGGAGGACGTTGCTTCACTGGCCCAAGTTGGCACCATCATTGCGCTCTTCCCGGGCGAGGCAGATCAGTCGCCGGCTTCTGGACAGCCGCTCACTGCGTCTGCTGGCCGCTCACGCTGGCTGCTGGCTACACACGGTAGCCCATGGTAACCCACTGCCACAGGGACTGCAGCCTACGCTGCCGCCGGCGACTCACGGCAGCCCAGCTCCAGGTTGAGCTGTTGTTCAGCATCTTAGCTGTAGAGGGCAGTGTCACTGGCCCTCCTATGTGGGATCCGAACCGGGGCCCTCTGGCGTCCCAAGCCAGTTCTTAACCATCGCGCCACTCGGCCGGCCCTCAATTCCTTTTAATGGTAAATAATATTCCATTGCCTGGATGGACCATGGTTTACTTATCCTGTTTTTTGGAAGTAGTTTTCTATGGCAACTTGTTGGCATCTTTTATAAATGTTCTACATATATTTTACCAGCTCCAGCATTATATATATTTATATTGCCCTAGTTTGTCTCTGTTATGATCTATAGAGTCTTTATACTTCATAGAAAATAGGCATAAGTAGGATTACGAAGAGCACTGTGGTACTAAGATTCACAACTGAAATATCAGGATTAATTGGATTAATATAGAATCCAGTTTTCACTCATCAGGGGTCTTGAAGTAACTGACTTTTGCCCAATTTTCAATTGACGAATTTGGATTTATGGAGATTTACTGATTTGTTTTCTAACAATTTAGGATTTTTCCACCATAGGTATAAAAATAAATGGTTCAAAAACAATAATTATAAGAGCAACCACAAAACCTGCCAAAATCCACCTTAAAAAACAAAAACAAACAAAATAATAGCAAAATGAAAGACTAATGTGTATTCTCCTGGAACCAGCCTTTATTGTATCATGGGATTATGATTTTAATTTCTTTTTTTCAGTTTTGCGTTCTTCATGATCTACATAAAAATGCAGTGGAAGACATGTCAGGAGATATAAAGGAAGGAATGAAATCCCAAAACAGCAAGGATAGAGTGATCTCTGAATTAAGAGCAGAGGTAAGATGCTGGAGAAAGACTATAATACTGAAACATTCTGAGGATTATTAAAGGATACACTATTCTAAGAGCTATAACTGAGGCGTCTTTGGTTACTTGATGAGGAAGAATGCTATTGAAAATCAAATAATGTGATTAGTTTATATGTGAATTGAAACGCTGTAGGATGATATTGGCTCTTCACTAGATCTGAATTATCTGAATATTATAAAGACAAAATATTTGACTAAAAAACCAGCATTGGCTTCGAGTCTTAATGTGAGTAAACAATGTATTAAAAGTTCCATCAGCTGCTGGATCTGATGTGTTAAGAGACTGTCAGGACCTATGACATACACGATGCATGGCATAGAGTTTCTGCAGCTGGCAGCTCGCGACAGGCAGGGTAAACTGACTTTTGTTACAGCTAATTCATTTCTTAGGTATAACCAGTAAAAAAGTGGAAACATCTATTTTTCGCCCCTACCACCACCAACGAATTCATTTTCACAGATTGCAAACTCTGTGTTCTCTGTCTTGTTGATAAAGGAAGAATTATCATCTTTTGAGATAGGAGGGGAGATTCAATTCTTTGCATTTCCTAGGAAATTCTGTCAGTGCCTTAAAAGTGGGAAATCATGAATTATTTATTTTTGTAACAGGTAATCCTGCAAGATGTCTTGGATACAAATGTGTAGGAACATTTCAGGAAACAGAATGAAGCTAGTGAAAATACAGGCTGCAACGAAAGTGATTTGTATTACATGGTTTCTTCCTTATAAAAACTCTGCAAGCACTTCACTCACACCACAGTATTTTTACATCAGATGAACATGGCGCGATGGAAAATGCATAGATTTTGGAGTCAGAGCAGTTTCCTCACTTACAGATTACTTTATTCAGGTCAACTCCTTAATTCTCTTTGAGCCTCAGTTTACAGGCTGAAATAGTGGAAATAAGAATAATACTAATCACACAGGATTTTGGTAAATATTACATATTGTAAAGGGAAATTGTCTGAGGCAGCGTGCTTTGCTGTTGGGAATTAGCTAAACTGTTCAGGAGAATTGGCTGTCGCTGTGTGGCTCTGACTGCATCGCTGCCATCCCTTGCCACCTCACATAAGAAGTTTTGAGTGGAGTTGACATGCATGATGAGAAAGACTGAATGAAAGGTTGCAAACAACTCCTCCTAGCAGTTAAGTCAAAGGGAAAATGTCAATGGCTATTTTATCTTTTGTTTCCTAACAGGAATCAGACCATCAGGGTTAGGGGCCCCTTTTCCTTGGCCCTGAGATCTGGGACGCATCTATGATTAAACGTTGCAGAATATGTGGTATAAAAACTTATTTAGCAGTTAGAGACAAATACAGAGGAAGGCACTTTTGCTGGTTTATTATAACTCTCCTTGAGAGCCAAGGATATTGCCTTATATAATAATTCTCAGAATACATTGGGAACCATAGTGATATAGGATCTCTGATATGCATCTTTTTAAGTTTAATTTAATAAAAAGTTCTGAGACTCATTTAGTAGTTATGTGGTCTTGACTAAGCCATTTCATGTCCATAGAGCTCAGCTGTGTATCCTTAAATCAGGATACAGACATTTTACCACCCAAAGACCATCTCCCAAAAGACATTCAAGTACTATGATACATGATTTTTCAATTTTAAAAATTTTAACGAAGCACTGAATGTTGAAGGCAAATGTGGACAGGAATTGGCCATGTGTTTTACTATTTTCTCTTGTAAAAGAGAAACAATGAATATGAATGTGTGTGTGTGTGTGTGTGTGTGCACGTGTGCGCTCTATATGTGAGTATATGTGTGTATTTAAGTTTTAAAGTAGGATAGAAGCTACCTCCTTTCCTTGGAAGAAGACAGATAACCACTTCTTTGGCATTATTTTATTTTTTACACTGGCTATGTTTAGGTCTTAAAATCATATCATAATTTTTTTATAACTTATTACCCCTTCACCCATTTCTCTCACCCTCCACCCCAGCCTATGAGCTTTTTTTTCAGACTTCACATATAAGTTCATACAGTATTTGTCTTCTCATCTGACTTATTTCACTTAGCATAATGCCCTCAAGTCCATTATTGTTGTTGCAAATGGCAAGATTTCATTCTTGTACGGCTGAAGCCATACAAGGGTATTGAGGGTATTATGCTAAGGGAAATATTTATATAATTTCTTTATCCATTCATCCACGAATGGACACAGGTTTTTTTCATATATTGGCTATTGTAAATAATGCTGCAATGAACATAGTGGTGCATATATCTTTGAGTTAGTAGTTTTGTTTTCTTTAGATAAACACCCAGAAGTGGAATTGCTGGATCACACGTTAGTCCTATTTTTAATTTTTCAAGAACCTTTCATACTGATTTTCACAGTGGCTGCACCAATTTACATTCCCACCAATAGTGCGTGAGGGTTCCCTTTTCTCCACATGCCTCCCTGCCAATACTTATTATTTCTTGTTTTTTTGGATAGTAGCCATTCTAACAGGTGTGAGGTGATAAATATTGTGGTTTTGATTTCATTTTGCTGATGTTTAGAGATGTTGAGCATCTTTTCCATGTACACATTGGGTATCTGTATGTCTTCTTTGCAAAAGTGTCTATTCAGAAATGCTGCCCCTTTTAAATCAAATTGTTTGTTTTTTGCTGTTGAATTATACATATTCTTTGTATATTTTGAATATAAACCCCTTAACAAATATATGATTTGTGAATATTTTCTTTCATTCAGTAGGTTGCTTTTTTATTTTATTGATAGCTTTCTTAGCTGTGCAGAAACTTTTGAATTTGATGTAGTTCCACTTGTTTATTTTTGCTTTTGTTGCCTTTACTTGTGGTGTGAGATTCAAAAGAAATCACCGTCAATACCTACGTCAGGGAGCTTACTGCCTATGTTTTCTCCTAAGAGTTTCATGGTTTTAGGTTTTACATTCAAGTCTTTAATCCATTTTGTGTTAATTTTTGTGTATGGTGTAAGACAGTGGTCCAGTTTTATTCTTTTGTATGTCACTGGCCAGTTTTCCCAACACCATTTATTGAAGAGCCTGTCTTTTCTGCATTATATATTCTTAGCTCCTTTATTGTAAATCAATTGATCATATATGTGTGGGTTGATTTCTAGGTTCTGTAGTCTGTTCTATTGATCTGTGTGACAGTTTTATGCCAATACCATACTGTTTTGGTTATTATTGGTTATTATTTGGTTATTATTGCTATATTATTGAAATATAGTTTGAAATCAGGGAGTATGATACCTTTAAGATTTGTTCTTCTTTCCCAAGATCACTTTGGCTCTTTAGGGTCTTTTGTATTCCATACTAATTCCAGAATGACTAATTCTATTTCTGTGAAAAATACCACTGGGATTTGCATAGGGATTGTATTGCATATATCTGTAGATTGCCCTGGGTAGTATAGACGTTGTAACAATATTAACTCTCCCAGTTCATGAACATGGAATATTTGTGTCTTTTTCTGTTTCTTTCCTTAATGTCTTATAGTTTTCAGAGTACAGATCTTTCACCTCCTTGGTTAAAATTATTGCTAGGTATTTTATTCTTTTTGATGAAATTTTAAATAGAATTGTTTTCTTCGTTTCACTTTATGGTAGTTCATTATTAGTGAATACAAGCACAACAATTTTTGTGTGTTGATTTTGTATCTTGCAACATTACTGAATTCATTTAGTAATGAATTTTATCAGTTTTTTTTTTGGTGAAGTCTTAAAGTTTTTTTTTTATATATAATGTATATACCATACTTTAATTAAAATATAACCTATTTTTAAAAATCTGTTTATTTTTAGATATGTAATCAACATTGCATTAAGTATGCATGTGCACATAAATCTTTGGATTTAAAAACAACTTGGGGAAAATTCCTAGAAAATGTATGGCTTGGTCAAGAAAATTTTTATTTCAAAAACCTTTTATACGCCTTGCCAAATTGTACATTAGAAAAATTGTATCAATTTACATTTTTACTAGCTTGCAGTATATAAATATACTCATTTCATTATTCTATGGGCAACAGTAGATATTGTTATTTTTAATGTGTGCATAGCTGATAGGTTAAAAATGCCATTATAATTGGCATTTTATTATAAATCCCGAAACCAAATGCCACCAACAGTCAGTATGTGACACTGCTAACCTGCTCTTTCATCATCCTGTGGGTTTCTGAAGCAATGACTCCAGAAATTTGATGGATTCTCAAAGAATTTTGTTGGAACTGGAAAAAAATAGTGTTTGAGTACCAAATGCCACAATTTTTTTTTTTTACCATTGATGATCGATCACCATGTATGGTGAACCACTTTTTAAAACTTCCTAACACTCACCAGTTTGATAAGGGTGTTATTTTCTCTTGAAAGTGCATTCTATTTATTTCTTAATCTGACCAATCTCTTTCAGAGGTAATTTGATGATGATTGTTCCATTTTGAAAATTATATTTGTCAAAGAAATATAAAGTGCAGCCCTGAGAGAAAGGCCCCAGAGTATTTAAATAATTGACTCTTTTGGTTGATGTGTAAGGAGGTGAGTTCTCTGAGCGTGGGGTCACTTAATCAATGAAAGTCTCGATATATGCATATGCGTACGCCTAGTGGAGAGATTTGATCTTTTCTCCATATTTAAGATCAAGGTCCCTTGAACTGGAAATCAGAAGTTTCTTTAGAATGGCAATCAACTGGCATTTTGAATCAAGAAATCATGATTTCTTTCTATAATCTGGCTGTTGTTTGAAAGCAAACTCATAATCAGGAAATACTCTTTTTACATATTTTAGGCCAGAATTTTTGGAATAAATGTTTTCCAAGAGAAACTAATTATTTCTTCTTGTATTATTCCAAAAACTAAAGCAACATTTTAGTTTCAAGTTCTTAGGAATGTTGATTTCTTATTTTCTTATTTCTTATTTGTGATTTGGTCTTTTGTCGTCACTCTTATTCACACATTTATGTGCTATTCCTTTTGCATGTTAGAAAAGTTGAG